GAGGGGCCTGTGATTAGTCAAGGGTAGAGAGTTCCAGGCAGAGGAAACAGTAAGTGCAAAGGCCCTGAAGCTGGACAGTGTCTGGTGTGTCCAGAAATAGCCAAGAGGCCAGGGTGGACGGATGAGAGTGAGCCAGAGGGAGAGTAGGAGGAATGTGAGGGCAGGAAGGGGGTTGGGCACATCTGACAGGACTTCGTGGGCCTCCTGGTGAGTGAGAACTTTGCCTTTTTCCCCTGAGTGAGGTGAAAGCCATGGAGAGCTCTGAGCAGAGTGGGACATGATCTGATTTGGGTTCTAACATGCTCTTACAAGTTCAGATGTTACCAGCATTCATTAAGCACCTACTGGGTGCAGACACTGTTTTCTGAGAATTCAATACGGTCTGATCTCATTTCATTCTCACATGGACCCCGTAGAAATTATCATTCCATTTCACAGAGGAGAAAGTGAGGCTCCGAAGTGTTTAAGTCACTGAGTCACAGCCACACACCCAGCAGCAATTTGCAGCCTTCGGGTAAGAAGTGAGCGAGCCTTTCCCTCCCCCAAGATTTTAGCCAAGGATCGCTTGCAGCAGAGCGCACTCAACATCCGGAGCTGCGTCTGTGTCCCTGTCTGTTTCTATTTCCACGCGTCCCTGTCTGTCTCCGTGCGCCTCTGCCTGCGCGTCCCCCATCTGTGCCCAAGCCGGCGTCTCTCTGCGCCCGGCCCCCGCACATCGGAGCTATTTCGGGTTTAGGCTTAAAGGCCCAACAGCTCGGAGGCGACGCTTCCGCCAGCCTTTCCCTTTCCTCTCCCGCCACCTCCCCCCCCCCCCCCCCCCCCGCTCAGATCACGAGCTGCGTGCGGCCGAATCTGGGAACTCCGGGTCTGCGCTGCGGAATAGATCAATCGATCCCCTGGCCGGGGTTAGACCCCACGGGAGGAAGGGAGCCGAATGTGTGTGCTTAGCGACACCCGCATTGACGCAGTCTGGAGCCTAGAAGTGCGTCAGCTGTCGCTCGGGCAACGGGCGAAACGTCACAGACGGGCAGTGCGTCAGCAGCCTCCTGACGTCACTCCCCGAGAGAGGCAATTGACGTAAGGCGGGGCGGATTCCAGGCCCGGCCGGCAGGGGGAGCCCCAGCTTGCTAATGGTGGATGCTTTTGTCTTGGTCCTGCAGGAGGCGCTGGCTCGGGCCGGCATGGTCCCCGCAGCCCAAATGGAGCTCTAGGTTGGCGGGATGAAGAGGAGTCGCAGTGTCCTATCCGTGGACGAGGTGTGAGGGACGGGGCCAGGCTGGGGGCGGGGCTTGGGCAGCGCGAGTTGGGGGGGGACGGGCGCCCTCTAGTGACCACAGCTGTTTACTAAGTGGTCGCGAGGAGTCAAGACTCCTCGTGCCTCAGTTTACTCCCTTGATTCCATTATTCTCCTGCCGCCAGGATTGAGTCCCTCTGCCCAAAGGCAGAAGGCAGGGGCTTCCAAGGGGCTTCTGAAGTCGCAAAGGATTGTGGGTGGAGTTGTGGGTGAGGTCTTGTGGGTCTCAGATGTGAGAGGGCCCACAGATATTAAGACAAAGAGGGGGCTGCTTAAACGTGGAAGTGGGAAGAGATCCTAAAAAGGGGATGTGTTCGAGGGAGCTCATATGAAGGACAGGGTACAGTCATGAGGGCCCAGAGCCACAGGGCTGAAACTTCAAGAGGGACCCCCACAAAAATTGTGACTGAGAAGGGGAACCCCTCAGAAGTAAGGGATGGGAAAGCATCTTCTGTGGGAGGGATCAGCGAGTGGCTCCGATTGAGTGGAGGACACAGGAGCCTATACCCCCATGAAGCTCTCCCAGGTGGCGAGGGAGGGGCAATATTGTGGGGAGGGGCTCACAGCTAGCTGCCTGGCCAGGCCCTGCACCCATCCCGCCTTTGTCCCTTCTTAGAGGCCAGGGGAGACCCCCGAACCCAGCCATACGAACATGCTGGGGGCCGACCTCCTACGACGCCCTCGCCGTCGCCTCTCCACTGGTCCTGGCCTGGGCTGGGCGGACCCTGAGCTCTGGGACCCTGGGGTCCCTGTGCTCCCACGGCCCACCACGCTGCCACTTCTGATCCCTCCGCGGATTTCCATCACCAGAGCCGACAGGTAGGCAGGAGGGGGAGCAGGCTGGAAGGTAGGGTGGAGGAACAGGGCCAGCTGGGCTAGGTCCAGTCAGCAGCCCTTTCTTGTGCTCCAGGCTCCCTGCCTTTTGCAAAATCAGCTGAACCGTCTCCTGGCGTCTGGTGGGTCAGGCTGTGACACCCCTCCCCCACGGTGCCCCATTACAGCCTCCAGAAAACCTTTCTTCCATTTTGCAGCTGCCTGAGTCAGCAAGGGTTTCGAAAAGGGCTTTCAGCCCTAGTTCCCAATGGTGCCCCCACATTCAGAGAGCTGGGTCAGGCCATGGAGCAAGCCTCTGATCAGTCTGCTGTGCACCTCTATGTACCCTTCTAGGAAGATTCTGTTTCTTCCAGGACTTGAAGGGGAAGGTGGGATCCTGGAGGAGGCCTGGCTTGGCATTTTTCTTTCCCTTGGGGAGATGTGAGAGGTATCTTCGAAACTTTACATTGCACTTTCTTGCTGTTTCTCATCGGGGATCCTCCCAGGGCACTCCAACCCCCATTTTGGCCCAAGGATGAGTTCAGAAGCCAGACAGCTGAGCTGGTCCTGGCTGCTTTCCGGCCCCTGACCCCACTGCCCTCCCCAGGCCACAGTGTTCTGCAGCCTTGATCTCCCCACCCCTTTCATCTGCTCAGTTGGAAGATTTGGAGACTCTGCTTGGAGAATGGTACAAAGGTTCATTGACAAGAGGGAGGAAGAAGTGACTGTCATTCCCCCCTAAGGTGGTCTATTGTACCGCGCCCCACCCACCCCAATCCCTCTCACCTCCATACTTTAGGAAGCTGATCCACCTCAGCCTCAGGCTACAACTCCGACTACAGCCTGGCCTACGGGCTTGTGCTCTCCTTCTGCAACCCCCTGTGGCCTGACACTCGCCCCCCACCCCCACCCCCATCCTACTGTTGCCTCCAGAGCTCTGGCCCCATTCCCCAAACTTCGGCCCAGCCCAGGAGCCTCAATTGATCTTGGAAGGACCGGCAGCCTTTGCAAATCCCCTAGAGGCCGTTTGAGTGTATACTTGCGGGAGGGTCCCTGTGGGGAGTGGGAGACACACTCTGACCTTTGGGATACCCACTGCTGCCGATGGGGAGCCGGTTCTTGCTCCACCTTCGCCCACGCCTGGAGCCCCCTCTGGTGGGGGAGAAAAATGGCTGTGGAGGTTGGAGACAGGCTTTTTTTTTTTTTTTTTTTTTTTTTTTTTTTTTTAATATAAGAACAGTGCGGGGGTGGGGGCGGTGAAACACGGCACAGCCAGCCTGGAGGAGCCCGGGAGGGGGGCTCACGGGGGCAAGGGTCTGCTTTCACGGACTCGCACCTAAGTCGGTTAACGTGTGAGTGCCTCTGCCAGGCGGGTGGGGCAGCGGGGTCCCCCTGCGGGGCTGCCACCAGGGCTCGGCAAGGGCCTGCCAGGGCGGGGTAAGGGGGGACGCTTGGATCCCGCTTGTTCTCAGCTCAAGCTCGCTCGCTCCGCGCGGCGCTTGGGGAGGCGGGAGCGTGAGTCACGGAGACTCCCGATTTAGGTGCCGGAAGGGGGGCTCTGCCGGCGGGGGGCCGCGGGGAGGAGCTTGGCTGTTTACTCGCCTGAAAAGAGCATGGGGGTGCGTTCCGCGGCTTCTGGAGACCTGCCTCAGTTTACCTCCTGCAGATGCGCTTTAAAGAGGCAGCGGAACTTAGAGCGGTGGGCGGGCAGCTGGGGTATTGGCCACAGGATGTCCTCTTGGAGCCACACGGGAACCAAAGAAACACATTAGAAACACCCCAAAGCGGCCCCAGGCCAACCACACACACACACACACACACACACACACACACACACACACACACGGACTCTCTCAGACACGACAGTCAAACAACGGAGGCTGAATCCCGGAGGCTGAATCCCGTGCACAACTCCGCGAGCACCGTACACACCCAGAGGCGTGGGAGCACATGCAGAACCCCAGGCCACCGGGACGGACCGCGCACTTTCCAGCAGGCAGCACATGTGTGCGCACAGCCTTCACCCACAGACACGCAGACACACACACAGAGAAATCCAAAGAAACAGGCAGCCTTCGGCAGCCAACCACGTGCGCGCACACACTTCCAAGACAGCAAAAACACAGACAACCCTCGGAAGGGGCCGCCTGCCTGCACATCCCGCCCCGGGCACACGCCATCCCCATTCTCCGACCCACCGACAGGAGATCCCCCGCACTCCGCCGCCGCCCGCCGCAGGGACCGCGTCTGTGGCACCGGGGCCACGTCCCACTCGTTTGGGCCCCCGGCCAGGGTTAGCGGCGAGGACACGCCAGCACCGGGCTCCGCCCCGCCAAGATGGACGGACTGCCTGACGCACCGGCAACCACTCGGATGTCTTCCCGATCGGATTAACCGTTTAACTCCTTCCTGTCGGTGCGCGCCGCTGCTAGGCTGGGCACTCTGGAGAGAACCGCGCTCCCGCGCCCCCTCCCAGCCCCGAGCCGGGCTCTGCGTGGGCGGGAAGGGGCCCCCCCTCCTCGGGTGACTGCCCCCCACTGGTCGGGACCGAGGAGGAGGGGGGCGGTGCTGACAACCGCGGCGGGCGGGGAGCGGGGAGCGGGGAGGGGCGGGACGGGGCGGGGAACCGGGGCCGGCGCCGAACCCGGCGCCAAGCGCGGAGAGCGCTGCCGGGCACGGAACAGAGCGCCAAGCACAGGCTGGAAGCTTTGGCGCCCGGCCCGGGGGCGATCGGCCCTTAGCGCCCCCGGGTCTGATCCCCGGGGCGCCATGGCCCCACCGAGGCCGGGCGCACCCTCGGGGACCCGGGCACTTCGGCTCTCACGCAGCTGAGTAGGGTGCAGCGTGGAGAAGAGGCCGGGGCCCCCTGGGGTGCAGGTGGGGGGCCGGCGACATGGAGCCCCCGGCCGTCTCCTCGGAGAGGAGCCTGTCTTTGTCGCTGCCCGGGCCCCGGGAGGGTCAGGCCACCCTGAAGCCGCCTCCCCAGCACCTGTGGCGGCAGCCGCGAACCCCTATCCGTATCCAGCAACGCGGCTACTCGGACAGCGCGGAGCGCGCAGAGCCGGAGCGGCCACCACACCGACCCATAGAGCGCGCCGACGCCGTGGACACTGGCGACCGGCCAGGCTTGCGCACGTCTCGCATGTCCTGGCCCTCGTCTTTCCACGGCACCGGCAGCAGTGGCGCGGGCGGAGGCAGCTGCAGGCGGTAAGACTACCGGCGATGTACGCGCGCGGAGCGGATAGGCGCCCAGGAATGATGCAACCCGCCCCGCTGGCCGCAGGGGGCGCTGTGATGCGGCTGGGGGTCAGTGTGACTGGCGGAGGTAGGGGTAGGAGAGTTCTACTGCGGAGTAGCTGGGACCCGGCCCCTGGTAGTGCACTGTATCCGAGAATTACTGAAGCCCATCCTCAGGTTGATTTAGGGCGGCCATGCTGCGTGTGGTAATAACAGGGTCTGGGTTGAGAGCTGCAGCTTTAGGGGCCTGTATCCCTAATTGGTGGCAGTGCAGGACAGTGGCTAGGCTGGGCACCACTTCAAGGGACTTTCCTGGAAGCACTGTACTGAAAGCTAGTGTTTGGGGGTGTCCTAGGGGCACTCTTTAGGGGGGCACCTGCTAGGACCAGTGTTTCTTCCAGGCTGAGGGGCTCTCAGGGTTCTAGGGGGTGGAGGACTATATGGAATGGGGGTATTTGTGGACTCACCCTGCAGCAGATGGAGTAAGAAATCCAGAGAGGGCCTCTTTGGGGAGCACGGTGTTGAGGACTGTGTGCTAGATGGAGCCCCCTTCTCAGGGCAGGAGAGAGTTAGGTTCAGTAGCTGTGCAGAGGAGGGAGACATGCCCAGGGGGTGCATGGTCTCAGCACAGGGTGAAGGAACCCTTGACTCCCCTGGTGACAGTGCTAGTGAGGGGGTGTGTTGGGCTGTCTCTGACTGTATCCTCTCACTGACCTGACATCGCTCCAGCTGTTGGGGTATGACCAGCTGTGGCTGCCTTGGCCGGCTAGGGCTTCTGAGGTCCTGTGATTGTAACCTGGGACTGTGTGGCCTCCCAGGACAGTGCTTTTGTGACTGTGTGCTTCTGGGACGGTGCCTGTGCTACTGGAATACTGTGACTGTGTGGCTGTGTGTGCTCCCCGGGTGTGGTAATTGTGTTACTGACTGTGTTGTTGGGATGCTGTGAGTGAGCCTGCTCCCATTACAGTGATCGTGACAGTGAGTGTGTGTGCTGCTGGGACAGCGACTGTGACCATGTGCATTCCTGGGGTGCAGTGATGGTGGCACTGCAATGTGTACACCCCCAGGACAATGTGATTGTGTCAGCAGGACTGCCTGTTCTCCCTGAGGAAGGAGATTGAGACATTGTGACGTGCTCTCCGCTGCCCGTGAGCCCCGTGTCCGGGAGTCAGTGCTCTGACTTTCGGGTTTGTTCCTGAGTGCCTGATGTGCTGTCCTCTACCCAGCTGGTGTTCTGATGGTGCTTGAGGTTTCACTGTGTGCGCTCTGGTGTCACGTGTGACTGACAGCTGTGACTGTGTGGTTTGCTTGCCACCCCCCCCCCCCCCGAGTACCCTTTTGTTTGGAACATCACTAAGACATTTCAGCCGTGATCTCACTCCAGGAATTCCCAAGGGAGGTCCTTTTAGGCTATTGCCCTGCTATTCTAGCTCTGGGGACCTCTAGCAGGCACCATCGCCCCCAAGGCCACCTCCACCCACCTCAGTGTGGGACACATCCAGCCATAGAACCTTTTCCCAGGAAGCGATTGTCATAGGCTGCACACACAGCCTGCTGTTTCCCAAAGGGAACTGGAGAGGAGCTGAAGGAAAACAAAACTGAATCAACAGGAAATGCCAAGACCAAGGGCAGCACGCCAGCGGTCACTGTCCTGAGAGACCAGGGAGGGGGTGGGGTGCAGTAGGAGGAACTGGACCCTAACCCCCCCCTTTTTTTTAAATCTTTAAATTCTTTATTAGTTAAGGAATTACAAATGTGTCCTCATTACCCCCCTATTAACCCCCATCCTCCCCCCCCATGGACCCTAATCCCTTTTAAGGCCCCGCACTAGGACTCCTGCTAGACTGGTCACTGGGGTATTGACACTCGGGGGATGGGGACCGTGGCTAAGTGCTAATAATCATCATCTTAGTGGCATCTGTTTCCTACTGGCTCGCTCTTGGGCAGGCTCCATGTGGGGGAATTTTTCACAAGTCCTCATCCCCTGTGCCTTTTGAGGTATTCCTGTTGGACAGATGGGGAAACTGAGGCTTAGAATGGCAAAGACCCTTCTTTTTGCCCAAGCTCACATAACCAGGAAATGGTAGAGCTGAGATGCCCGTACAGGGTCGGTCTGACGGCCTGTGCATCCTGGTACAAGGCCTTGCCCTCTCTGAGCCTCAACTTCCCCATTTGTAAAGTGGGACTGTTGTCAGCACTGCCCTCTGGGGGTTGCTTTAAGAGGTCTGTGAGATTGAGGATGCGTGTAAAGGACTCAACATAGTGAGTGCTCAGTAGCTAGTTACTCAGGGACCTGGATTCCGGAGCGGAGGTGGGGCCTGCATAGAACCTGCTCCAGGATGGGAAGGAAAAACAGGAACCTCAACCGCATCCCTCAGAGGCTCAGGTTTCTGTTTCACTGTGGCCTGTGTAGCCTCCAGGGGCTGTGGCAGGAGGGAGGGCACTGGTGCCAGGCAGAGGGAGGAAGGGGGAACTGAGAAGCCTCCAATGGGAACCTCGCTTTTTAGAATGGGCCTTCGGCCAGTCCAGTTCTCCAGACAGGGGAGTCTTACCAGTGCACACACAGGGGTTCCACCACTTTCCACGTTGGAGTTCATGCAGCCACCACAAAGGGGGTCCAAAGAGCCTTCCAGACTTGAGTCATAGGAACCCCCAGAGAGAGGGCCCTGCCCCCATCCGAGATAGCATCCACACCCCACAGCCCCCTCTGGACCTGGGGATGTATGAGACTGTGCTCCTGGCGCCCTGCGGGGCTGAGTCATGGCACCGCCACGATCTGTCAAGAGGCAGATGGAGCTGGAGGAAGAGAAGGACTCTGGTGGTTGGGGGCGGGGGGAGCTTGCCTTAATTGAGAGTGGAGCCAACGTCTCGACTGCCCCACTTTGCGCCCTCAAACATTCCCCACCGAGGGAGTCGCTGCCTGGCTGCCTGGCCCCTGGAGGGGGTGGAGGCAGCCCGACTGGGGTCTCTCTCTGGCCGGTGGTCTCTGTGCCCATTTGGGTCCTCGCCTCCCCTTGTCTCCGGCGCTCCCAGGTCCCTGGATGTGTGCTGGGAGCACATGTCTCCGCGCGCCCCCTGCTGGACGACGGAAAAGGCACAGGCAGGCTAAGCGTGCGCTCAGAGTCCGGACCTGCCGCTCGCACCTGTCCCTGACGAGCAAAGTCGCCGCCGCCGCCACTGCCGCGGCGCCCCGTATTATTATTTCATGCTTATTGAGCGCCTCGGAATGCGGGCGCCAAGCCGGCCGACCGCAGGCTACCGATGAGGTCTGCTCCTTCCCCGGGGGGGTGGGACCAGGCCGCCATCCCCATCCTCTACCCTGAAGCCGAGCGCGTTGGACACCGCCGCCTGGCGGATAGAGAGGAACTTGGCGGAGAAGTTGAGAACCCGGAGCTCCGGTCTGGCCTCCGCGGGCTTGTCCACATCCACGTCAGGGCCTCCTAACACCAACTTGCGTTTTAACTCCCAGCATCTTTGGCTTTCCATTCCTGCCGAGGAAACAGAGACGAGGTGGCTTGCCCAAGGTCACACAGCCAGCAGGGGCGGGATTGGGGTTAAAAACCAGGTCTCCTCGGCTCCAGACCAGTGGGTGAGATTCAGATTGTGCCCCTGCCCTTTTGCTCTGTGTGACCTGGGGCCAGAGATCAGGCCTCTCTGGGCCTCCGTTTTGTTATCAGCAAACCGGCTGAATAAGATCTGCCGTGTTAAGGCTGAGATGGCTGACATCAGGTCTGGGCGATCAAGAGCTGGTGTTTTGAGAACTGCACTTCCTTAAAATGACTTCAGCAAAGAGAAAGGGGGTGTTCTCCACATCACAAGCCCAGGCCCTGGCTGCCAGGGTGTCCCCTCTTTAACCAGTAACAGGTTGACTGCAAGCCCCTCTGAGTTGCAGAAACCAGGGCTTTTGGGTCTGCAGGAGCCACAGACTGGCAGGGTGAGGACAGAGTTTGGGGGGCGGGGAGCATCTGGACCCACTGTTTTCACTCTCGAGTAAAAAGTTCAAATCCAGTCTTTGCCCTTGACTTGTGACCTTGGGAAAGGACTTAACCATCTGAACCCCAGTTTCCTCATCTGTAACAGGGCTATTGATGGAGGATCTTCAGGCTGTGACATACGATATAAGAGACAGATGCAGTGGCTCCAGTTCTCAGACTAGTGAGTGAGGAAGACATAGCAAATAAAGGAATAATGATAATTCCAGATGGTGACACATGGGACATGAAGAAAAGGGGGACCCTGGGGACAGGGAAGGCCTTTCTGCAGAGATGACATTTGAGCAGAGACCTAAGTGAAGTGAGAGGGGGGATGGTATGTGGCTGCCTGAAGGATGAGGGTGATAAGCAGAGGGAACAGCCAGTACAAAGTTCCTGAGGTAGGAATGTGTCTGATGATATGTTGGAAGCAAAGTAGTGAGCAAGGGGTGAGTGAAGGGAAATGAGGCAGGGAGGAGATGGGGCAGCTTGTGTCAGGGCCTTGTAAGCCGGGTCAAGGTTGGCTTCAGGCCTCAGTTTACCTCTGACTTCCTAGGAAGGGAAAAGTTCACTGGGCTGGAAGGGAACTGACCTGTGAAGGACCTAGTGGCTAAAATTCCAGTTCAACTGAATTTATATCCCAGGTCTGTTCCTTCTGAGCTGGGTGATGCTGGCCAAGTCAGTTCCCCTCTCGGAGCCTTGGTTTTCCCATCTGTGAAATGGGCCTGTAAGGAATCTATTCCCAAAGTCTGATGTGCAGGATCAGCAAAACAATTCAGGGAAGTCTAAGGGCAGGTAAACGTGAATGTCTTTCCTAGTTCTGTTTGTACTTGGACCAAGAGGTACTGGTGGCCAGTGATGGGTCTTCATGGGTTTAGAGCAGGAGTTCTCAGCTAGAAGCAATCTGTCCCCCCAGGGACAGATTGTGGCAATGGCTGGAGACATTTTAATTGTCATGACTGAGAGGGTGCTTTTGTCATCTAGTAGGTAGAGGCCAGGGATTCTGCTTCTACTACAAGCACACAGGACTCCCCCCCAGGACAAGAGATTAACAGGCACCAAATGTCAGTAGTGCCCAGGTTGGGAAACCGTGCATTCCCAATGAGATATCACATCCATGGGTGTAAAATTTGGTTCTTGGGGTGGATGTTTAAAAAAAAGTATATACAGCTCTGGCCAGTGTTGCTCAGTAGTTAGAGCGTCAGCCTGCACACTGGAGGGTAAAGGGTTCAATTCCTGGTCAAGAGCAGTACCTGGGTTGGAGGTTCCATCCCCAACCTCCAGTCGGGCATGTGTGAGAGACAACCAATCAATGTGTCTCTCTCACATTAATGTTCCTCCCTCTCTCTCTCCCCTCTCTTCACCTCCCCCCTTTCCACTCTTACTCAAAAAAAAAAAAAATGTACAAAGCCCCCATATTCACACAGTATATAAACAAATATACAGTATATCTGTGGTATTAGCATTTTATGGAGGAGGTGAAGGGGGGATGTCTAAAAAGGCTACTCCTGCCATAACCGGTTTGGCTCAGTGGATAGAGTGTTGGCCTGCGGACTGAAGGGTCCCAGGTTCGATTCCGGTCAAGGGCATGTACCTTGGTTGCGGGCACATCCCCAGTAGGGGGTGTGCAGGAGGCAGCTGATTGATGTTTCTCTCTCATCGATGTTTCTGACTCTCTATCCCTCTCCCTTCCTCTCTGTAAGAAATCAATAAAAAAATAATAATAATAAATAAAAGATTTCTTTAAAATAAATAAATAAATAATAAATAAAATAAAAAGACTACTCCTTAGGGAAGCAATAATAAAATACAGGGTGACAAACACTGGTCTAGAGCCTGGATCAGCCACTCACTGACTGTGTGACTTAGAGCAGGTTTATCTCCCCAAGATTCAGTTTTCCCATCTGTAAAATAGGGACAGCACTAGGATCACTTTGCAGGTGTTTTGTGAGGATTAAATGACATCATGGCTAGAGGCGCTGAATCTCAGGAAGCATTCTGAAGGTTTGTTGCTATGACTGGCATCATCATCATCATCACTGGCTAGTACAGCGGCTGGCACATTATAAGCTCTTCATAAATGTTTTGTCAAATAATAATAATTGTAACTAGCATTTAGTGAGTGCTTACTACGTCTAGAACCTTTTACTTGTCCATCCATGAGATGTGTAGTATTATACCCATTTTACATATGGGAAAACTGAGGCTTAGTGAAATGAAGTGACTGTCCCAAGGTCAAATGGCTAAGTGCCAGAGGCCAGACAAGCCTGGGCCATCTGACTCTAGGCCCCACGACAGTGGAGTCAACAGGTAGAAAGCTATTTATAGAGGTGGTAGCCTAAGACAGAGATTTGCCCACTTATTTAAAACAAGCTTTCCCAACCCCTAAGAGCCACAAACACATCGGAGTAAGCTCCAGAATCATAACCAGTTGCCTGACTTTGTTCAAGGGTGTTCACCTCTCTGACTCTCAGTTCCTTCATCTGTGAAAGGGGGTAATGAGCCCCCCAAAGTCAAGTGGTTGGGCATGCAGAGCCACCTGGAGTGGTGGTGGGAGAAAGTCTCTATGCCTGTGTACTACTGTGCCTGCGAGGGAGTCAGCACTGAGGGGAGGCTGGGTTCTTGGGGCCACCTAATGAGCTGTGGGGGCCCCAATTCTAAGGGGTGCCTCAAAAATTCTAAGGAGTGTCTTGGGGCTGTGAGCACACTCAGATCTCCTAGGGATGCCATAAATTAAGGGAGGTATTCTGGTGGGTTACCAAGGATTATGGTGCATCTTGGTTCTGGGAGTAGCCTAGGGTTGTAGAACTGTCTTAGAAGTTGTGGAGGAATCTAGTTGTACTCCTGGGTTTGGGGGGCACCCCAGGATTTTTGTGGCATCTCCATGTTATAGGATCACCCCCTGAGTCTAAAGGTACTCCTGAGATTATGGGGGGGAGGTCTCTGAATTTGTAGGAGCATCTCAGGGATGCTGTGGAGCCACTCAGGGGTTGGGGGACCACTGAGGGACTGTGGAAGCATTCCTGGGGTCTGGAGGGACCCTAGGCTTTGAAGCCCCTCCTACCCATGTCTGTGGGAATGGTTAGTGACTAGAGGATTCCAGTGGTACTCTGGGGGTCTCTGCATGAGTCAGAGATGGTGGGAGTGTTCTATGGGGTGTGGGGGGACATCTGGGGAACTGTAGCAGTGGTCCTGGGATCTAGGTGAAGGGGTTTCTCAGGGGTTCTCAAAGCACCACTGTCATTTGTAGGTGCATCCTGGGATTCTTGGGGTGCCCTTGAGGTTTGTGAGGATGTCTCACTAACAATGAGGACACTACTAGGGGGCATCTGGGTAGCTTTGGAAGTGTCCCCAGGGGTCTGTGGGGGCCCTCTCTGAACCCAGGGATTTGGGGGTATCCTTGGGTTGTGTGGGGGCATCTCGGGGATATTGGGGGCACTCTCTGGAATTGTGGAGGTGGCTGAGGAACGTTGAGGACGCCCCTGAAGTCTGTGGGGTCTCGCAATACCGCAGGAAGTTGTGAGAGCACCCCAGCGATTGTGGGGGCGTGCCAGGTGTTTGTAGAGATGCTTCCGGAGATTGTGAGGACAACTGAGGGACTGCGGGGGGGCGGGGGCCCTGAGGTCTGTGGGGTGTCCCCGCTGCAGCCCTGCGGGCGTCCCCGTCCCGCCCCGCCCCAGGGGCGGCCCCAGCGGGAAGCCGGAAGGGCCAAGGCGGCCAGGCGGGGTGGGCCCCAGGGCTGGGCGGCCGGCCTGCTTGGGCCACCGGGGCGGGCGGCGCTGCTCCCCAGCGCCCACCAAGGCCGGGCCGCCCCGCGTCCCCTGCGGCCATGGCGCGGCCGCGCCGCCTGGGCTGCATCCCGGAGCTGCAGCTGGCAGCCTTCCCGGCGGCGGCGGCGGCCGAGGACGAGGCGTTCCTGCCGGAGTCCCTGGCCCGGCGCGCGCCCCGCTGGCCACGTTCGCCGCCCTCCTCGCCCGTCTTCTTCGCCAGCCCGTCCCCAACTTTCCGCAGGCGCCTCCGGCTTCTCCGAAGCGTCCAGGATTTCGGCCGCCAGGCGTGGGCTGGGTAAGTGCGCCCAGGTGGGTTCGAGTCTCCATGTCGGGGTCTGGAGTCCGCAGCTGCCTCTGCCCAGCCTCATCTTTCCTCTTCCGTCACAAGGCAGCGATAAACATCATCCCTGCCCGCGGGGTTGCCGTGGAGACATCTGATAGGGCATGCAGTAGGCGCTCAATAAACGCTACGTTCTTCCCACTTCCTATGCAGACCTGAGTCTGCGGTCAGACTTTGGGGGAACCAACCTGCCACGCAGGCTGATCTGAGGACGCTTGTTCCCTTGCGTTGGCCTCAGTCTACCGGCCTGTGAAATGGGCCAGCGATGCACTCGCGGTTGCTTTGCCGTCAGGCTCGCTGGTCAATGCGTGCACCCGGCGCGGAGGGCAAATTGAAGTTCCCTTCCCGGCTATACCCGGGGGGGCTGTGGGGCTGGCAGGCTGACGACCCATCCGAACTGGCTTCCCAGCGTCCCTTTATCCTGGCAGCCCGACGGCGGGCACTGGCTGGAGCTGGGGGTCCTCCTTTATCCTGACTCTCCTTGGGCACTCGTTTAGAACCACAGTCCGGAGACACAGGCTGGGAGAGGGCATTGCGGGGACAGGACGGGGACCCGGCGGGAGAGACGGGGGCAGGGAGAGACGAGGAGGAGGGCCGGGGCCGCTGGGAGCCCCTGTGGGGCCGGGGAGGGCGTAGGGGCAGGGAATCAGTTCCTCTCTCTGGTTTCCCTCAATGTCTCTGTCTCCCCTTCTCTCTGTCTCTTCTGTCTCTGTGCCGACCCCGAGCTCCACCCCCGGCATCCGTCGTCCCTCCGCCTGGTTTTTGTCCCCAGACCCCGCACTCCGCCGGCGCGGGAGGGCGTCTGGTCCCTCCAGGAGCGCCGGGCGCTCTGAGACTTCCCGCGGGCACAGCTCGACGTCAGGATGGGGAGGGGGTGAAGGCGGGGCCAGAGGCAGGGGCGGGGTGGGGGCGGTGGGCCCGGAGCCTGGGAAACCAGAGCTGGGGCGACCCGCCCCGCCCCCCCGCCCGGGCCCGGGGGAAAGGAGGCAGGCGGGAAGTGTGCGCAGAGCTGTGCCGGGCTCACAGGAGGAGGCAGGCGCCGAGCCCAGCCCCGGGCGCTGCGGACTGGAGGACACCCGAACGCCCATGGCCTGGGAAGTCACCCGGAGGGCGGGTGTGAAGGCGGTGCCAGCGCCGCCGCGGGCGGCCCGGGACACCTCGGGCCCGGAGAGCAGCGTCCGCTGCCCCGCGGTGCGTGCGGCCGTCCCCATGCGCGCCCGGAGGGCGCTCGGCAGCCCCGCGCTCCAGAGCAGCCCGCCGCCCGGCAGGCCCCGGCGCCCTGCCCTAGCACTGCCCTTCGCGGGCCCTGAGTCCCTGGCCCACTTCTCCTTCAGTGACGAGGACACCTGTTGGCACTCTCCGGGCAGATCCGTCGTCAGGTGGGTGGCCCGAGGCCAGTCCCCTGCTTTCCCACCAGAGGGCTCTGGATGCGTTGGTGGGGGTGCCCAGGCCGCCTTCGGGAGTCTCCAAAGTGGTTTGCAGAGTCTGCCCGAGCTCCCGCCCCTTTCCCTGTTTCTAAACGTCTGGGTGCCTCTGAGGGCTTCCTGCAGGTGGTGGCTCTGAAAATAGGTGCTGGGTCCTGCCCCCTTTCTGCCCACTCCAGATGGGATCCCTTCACTCTCTTTGTGCCCCTAAACCTGGACTTTTGGCACTCACCCTGGTAGCCAGTATGCGTGTCCAGCGTCACCTGGGCTCCACTCCCAGGCCGCGGGCCTCCAGCCAGGTCCCTCAGGCCTTACCCTTCCTCCCTCCTTGCTGGGGCTGCCAGGCTGAAAGCCAGGCGGGTGGGTGTGGGAGGAGCTGGAACTCCTGGAGGGCAGTGAGAAGCTACTGGACAGGGGCAGAGGAGCAGCTTGTAAATTCTCAGAATTCTTGGGGTGCTCCAGCAATGTTCTTGCTCCCCTCCAGCACCCCCTTCAGATACCTGGACACACGCATGCTCCCCAACAAGGCACATACACTCCACATACACGGCCATACATGACATAAACAGCACACCCACACGCAGGGCAGTCGGGGTTGACCCATGGCCACGGTGACACACAGACCACAGAAACCCTGGCCTTTTAAACCTTGTATAGACTACACTGCTTGCAGGAACACACTCTCACTGCAACACATACCCAGGCCTGACTCCCACCTGCACACCTCATACCCCTCAGGAGTCAGGCACAGTCTCGGCACGTGTGCACCGCACACAGGTACACCCTCCCAAACCCACAGGACTCGGAGACACACAGACCCACACAAGTGCTGTGAACACCCAGACCCCACTCACACACACAGATGTGTAAATCCACACGGACAACCTACATGCACACGGGTGCCCCTGAGCACCCCCTCTGACTCACACATGCACAGACCCACCTGCAACACTTAACCCCACTAACAACTGTGTCACTGGCACCACGCGCCTGCCTGGCAGATACACACCAGCACCCGCCCTTAACCTCCATGTGACCTTCACAAAGCAAATGCCAGGTCCTTCCATAAAGGCTGCCTGGCACCTCCGACAAGGGTGTCAGTTGGCGTGGGGCAGAGCCTGGGGAGCTGCCAGGCTGCCTGGGGGAAGACAGACACCCAGTGACTTAGCATGCTTTATAGCTTTGAGCCCGGCTCCCCGGGTTCGCATCCTTGCTCTGTCACTAGTCACGTTATTCATCCTCAATGTGTCTCAGTTTCTCTCTCTCTCTCCGGAAAATGGGGATGAGTTCGTGTCCAGGCAAAGCACAGTGCTGGAGCATGTGGCATTCCAGAGCAGCTGGCTACTGTCATTGTTGTTATGGTTTTTACCAACTGGGATATGTCCCCTCTCATTGCCACAGCCCTACCCTCACCCCAGCTTGTTTGCTTCCGATTAGCTCCTGCAGCAGGACTTTCTGATCTGCCCCTGGACTGCACAGTCCTCCAGAGGCCCAATTTGATGTTTAGAAGCCCAGGGGGACAGGACTAGAGGCCCCAGAGGGGTGGAAGCAGGTAGCCACGTCACCTGAGAATGCCACCAAGCGGTCAGCCTATCCCAGGGGGAGTCTTGGGCAGGTCATTTCCCTTCTGATGGAGTGTCTGGGCACGTGGCTGTGATGTCAGGGCCTGTTGGCTGTCCTTGACAACACTAGTTTGTGGCTCTGGGCCCCATTGGGACATCTCCAGTGCAGCCTCTAGCCTGATTTTGGGTCACCCTGATCAGTAGCAGGCCAGGGAGGGGTGACTCCCCACAGCCTGGGGGTCTAATTCTGGGGAGTAGCTGAGATCCCCTTATTCGCAGGCTGCAATTCAACAGGCCTAATCTCCTATATGCCCTTCTGCAGCCTCAGGGACATCGCTCCTGGAAGCACAAACAGTGGGGCCCCAGGGAGCATCTTCCCATCCCTGCCCCTGGGCTCCTGCTTGCAGTGAGTTGAGTCCCCTGGGGCTGCCATATCTACCCAAGATGCTAGTTGGTTGTCCTTTGGGGCTTGGGTCTCACCTTCCCTAAACAGCACTTCAGTTCCTGGGGCAGGGGAGGGGTCCTCTCTCCATAGGAATGCTCCGCCCCCCTTCACAGTGGCACTCAGCAGAGTCAAAAAATCCAGCCTGGGCCTTGGGAGACAGGACATGATTCTCAGGTAATGAGGCCACCAATCCCTCGCCACCCCTCTGTGCCTGTCTTTTCATTGAACCAGGAGGTAAACAGAATCCAAATCGCGGAGTTGGTAGGAGTCATACTGGGTTCAGGTATATAAAGCACTCAATGCCACAGCAAGAACTCAGTGTCTTGTTATTATTACTATACACCTAACAGGATTTAACCTGGGACCCAGTACACAGCAGGTGCTCAATAATGGGCATTATCATCAGAGGCTCAAGCTCATGATTAGGTATTCCATCTTAAGAATGTGTTTTTTTAAAAAGATGAACACATATTAAAATTTTTTTTAAATATATTTTATTGATTTTTTACAGAGAGGAGGAGAGAGAGACAGAGAGCCAGAAACATCGATCAGCTGCCTCCTGCACATCTCCTACTGGGGATGTGCCCGCAACCCAGGCACATGCCCTTGACCAGAATCGAACCTGGGACCCTTCAGTCCGCAAGCCGATGCTCTATCCACTGAGCCAAACCGGTTTTGGCGAACACATATTAAATTAACCCTTTTCATATACATCTTCATGAAGTTCTTTTGCAAATTGTTTTTTATTTATTTACTAGAGGCCCAGTGTGCGAATCCGCGCACGGGTGGGGTCCCTCGGCCTGGCCTGTGATTGAGGCCTATGGGGGAGGGGCCAGCAGGCGGGGGCGAGGGGGGGGGTAGCTGGGGAGAGAACATGGGGTTTGGCTGTGGGAGCACACTGACCACTAGGGGGCAGCTCCTGCATTGAGCATCTGCCCCCTGTTGGTCAGTGAGCATCATAGCACTGCTCGACCGGTCATTCAGGTCGTTTGGCGGTAATGGTTGCTTAGGCTTTTATATAGAGAGATTTATATTAACATTTTTTAATGTTAACATTATCGTGGGTGTCTCCCTTTTTCCCCTCTTTGCCCACCTCCACCACTCCCTTTAGCCTTCACCAAACTATTGTCCATGTCCATGGGCTATGTATATATGTTCTTTAGCTAATCCCTTACCTTCTTTATCCAGTCACCCCACACTCCTTCCCTTGGGCGCCAGCCAGTCTGTTCCATGTATCCATGCTTCTGGTTCCATTTTGTTTGTCAGTTATTTTTGTTCATTAGATTCCACATATTAGTGAGATCATATGGTATTTGTCTTTCTCTGGCTGGTTTATTTGCTTAGCAAAATACTCTCCAGGCCCATCCATGCTGTCACAAAGGGTAAGAGATCCTTCTTTTTTATAGCCACATAGTATTCCATTGTGTAAATGTTCCATAGCTTTTTTTATCCACTTATCTGCTGACGGGCACCTGGGCTGTTTCCAGGTCTTGGCCATTGTAAATAATGTTGCTATAAACATAG